AACTGCCGCGGTAAAGTGGACCCCAAGAAGATTACTGATCACATCTCGTTCAAGAAGGTACACTGCCCCGATTCGACAGAGGGGGATGAGGAGGTTCTTGAGCCAACAGATGGGGCGGCGAGTGAGGATGACAGTGATGATGACAGTGATGATGATAGCCTGTCTCGGTTCATCGCCGATGACGATGGGGACTACGGTGGTAGCAGGACACGCAAATCCAAGGGTAAAAAGCCACAGAAGACCAAGAAGACCCTTGCCCAGCTCCGCAAGGACGCCCAGAAGAACCAGAAGGCTAAGCGCAAGTATCTGCGCCGTCTTGAAAAGACCTGGATCCCGAGCGCCAAGATCGAGAAGACGATGGAAATCCTCCGAGGCATCAGCAGCAATGACAGCAGCGAAAAGACCATTATTTTCAGTCAATTCACATCTCTGCTTGACCTGCTCGAGATCCCCATTGCGCGTGAGGGCTGGGACTATCGGCGCTACGATGGCAGTATGAAACCTGCGGAAAGAAATGCGTCTGTCATAGAATTCACGGACAATCCCGACTGCAAGGTCATGCTGGTATCCCTCAAAGCCGGTAATTCCGGATTGAATCTGGTCGCCGCCTCACAGGTGATTATCTTCGATCCTTTCTGGAACCCTTACGTGGAGGAGCAGGCTGTCGACCGTGCTCATCGTATTGGGCAAGCACGCCCGGTGCAGATCCATCGCATCGTGGTGAAGGGCACGGTTGAGGACCGAATTCTCGAGCTTCAGGACCAGAAGCGCGAGCTTGTCGAGGGAGCGTTGGACGAGAAGGCCTCGAAGAATGTTTCCAGATTGGATACTCGGCAACTGCGCCATCTTTTCGTAAGTCGACCACCGTATATTCCCAGAGCGCGCTCATACTAACGGATTTTGTTTAGAATATCCATTAATGTGGCCGACACGGTCTTATTGTTCAGTCAAGATTGCAGGCGTTGACGTTTCTTCTGGCGCAATGAGTACCATAACGATACCCTGGGTTTTCTCGTGTGTTTCTCTTTCGCGTGCTGCTTTATTGTTTTTCGAATTGGCGCTGCGCTCTCTCGATGACATATACATGGGTTGGAAAGTCTGCATCTAGATCGCTCTGCATCGAGGTCGGTGATTTAGTTGAATGAAGGCCATACAGTACATGCAGGAACATAGCTTAAGAGCCATAGGCCAATTGGTTTTGCTTTCTTGCCCCTCTTTCGATCTCGGTGAGGTTAGACTGTACCACAAACTCGTAGATCATGGTATGTCTGCGAATGGCTGATTAGCGGCAGTACTCATGATATGCCTGTCACAAGTAGGACATATTATCCAAGAATCCTTTCAATTCAATCCAGCCCGACGTAGTATCTCACTCATACAGAAAGGAAATTACCTGGTGCCACCCACTCACTTAGTCCCAAACTTCCCAACCAATTTCTCCCAGCAGTACATCACCAACCATGCAATGTATGTTCCAGACTAACGTCTCCTCCTGATACACCACAAACATCCCCCAGCCCCAAGCTCCAGATCTATATGCAATGTGATAGCCACAACCCAGCCTCACAATTTTTAACGCAAAGGCAAGGTGGCCGAGTGGTCTAAGGCGCTAGTTTTAGGAATTCCTTCTTGACGGAACGAAAACCACTAGTTCGAAAGAGCATGGGTTCGAATCCCATCCTTGTCATTTTGGCTGTTGTTTTGCTGTTTTTTCTTTTTTTGCTGGGTAAGGGCAGGGAAGGGCAGGGAAGGTGAATCTTGGGGTTGCGTGTATGTTCAGCAATAGGCTTGTGCTGTTTATTTATAATCTACTACTATCCCCGATGCTATGCTTTGGATTGTCGAATGTGGGCAACGTCACGTTCAATAAATATTCATAGGCATTGCATTGCACTGTACCGCACTCACTCACTCACTCACTCACTCACTTACTCACTTACTACTCACTCTATTGGAATTCGCAAGGCAGGCGGCGGTTGAGGAGAGGGGGGAGGGTGGGTTGTTTATTTGTCAATGGCCCGCGCGCTCGCCGGCGGTGTTGGCTGGCTGCTTCCAATTGTTCCTCGGCTGGATAAATGGATGGCGGACGGCTGGCTGGCTGAGGGGTAACGTTCAGGGAATCCGCCATCAAGCCGGAGGCTTACTAGGTATCCCGTAGCGAAGGCCCGGGTTGACTGCCCCCGTCGTTGGGTCTCAATCTCAACCCAACTGCTCTCCCAGCCTCTGGGTTGTCGGTGACGTCACTCTTTTCGGTTTGTGGTCTCCTCTTTCTGGAGAAGGGGGGGGGGGGGGGGGGGCTACGCTGGGTGATTGCGGTAAGCCTGGTGGATTGCAAAGGTAGGTTTAGTGGGTGATTGGGGTGATTGGGTATGGGTTATGGCGTTGATGTGGGAATTATGCGGGAGGGTACAATGCGGGTGGAAGATATATCTGCATTTGAGGTTATCCCTCCTGCATGTTGACAAGATCTTTACCTACGGAATGCCCTCATCTACGACCCATCGGTTTTGAAGATTTATCTATTTGTTGTTTGCTCGAATGTCTACTCAATACCTCCTCAAAGCCCAAGAAAAAAAAATCCAGTCATACTTTTGTACCTATTATGTGCGACTTCGCGTATTTAAAAAGCTTTTGGTTTTTGCTCTCTTGCTGCTGCAGGCCCGTCATCCGTGTGGCAAAGAAGTTAAACTTGAAATGTGTGTTGAAAGAGATAATAAGGAGTCTAGACTACTAGTGGTAAATGTTGCAAATGCATAATCATGCTCCGACCCCGTCTTCCTCGCGGCCCAATTTTGCTCCGCCTCCTGACTGCTGATCGATCGTGGCATTCGTGATTCCCAGATTTCGCAAACGGTACCGCGCCCCCCGGGCGATGCCCGGGGTGCGAGCACGACCGCTATGAGAATAAATCTACCGGGGAGGCCCCCGGAGCTTTATCATGGACCGCACGCTTACAAGTCGGCGTCATCCTCATCGGGCAGGGGCAGGGCAGAGGCCGCCTCCATCTCCTGCTGGTACTGTTTCATGAGATCGGGGTTGACAGCGACCTCGGGGGGAGCAAGGGCGGGAGCGGCGACGAATTCCTGGTAATCATTAGCGCGCCGTTCAGAAGTGTCGACCGGAGTAAGAAGTATAGACTCACCAGCTGAGGGTTGCCGACCAACTTGCGAGCGAGCCAGAGGAAGGGCTTCTCGAAGTTGTAGTTGGACTTGGCGGAGATGTCGTAGTACTGGAGGTTCTTCTTGCGGTGGAAGGTGATGGTCTTGGCCTTGACCTTGCGCTCCTTGACATCGACCTTGTTACCGCAGAGAACGATGGGGATACCCTCGCAGACACGGACGAGATCACCTGGGATAGTGTCAGTCATGACCCCGAGATGAACAGCGCTCGGTGTGGAAGAACACTTACGGTGCCAGTTGGGGACGTTCTTGTAGGTGATACGGGAGGTAACGTCGAACATGATGATACCGCACTGTCCGTTGATGTAGTAACCGTCGCGGAGACCGCCGAACTTCTCCTGACCAGCAGTGTCCCATACGTCGAACTGGATGTGTCCCAAGTTCTGTTCACAGAGGTTAGTCCTGCATACTGAACAAAGACGGCGAGCCCCGGTCAAAGCGGGGTTGGCTGGCGGGGCATACGGTGTGGAATTGGAGAGGGTGCACTTCGACACCGAGGGTCGCGATGTACTTCTTCTCGAACTCGCCAGTCAAGTGGCGCTTGACGAAGGTGGTCTAGAGAGGTTTGAAGGTTAGCTATGGGCGTCTCGTATCATCGGGCTGATAGGTAATCAAGTTTTTCTGCCGGTGGTTGGAGGATGAGGATGGCCGGAACACAGAGATAAACAAGGCACCGTAGCACCACTGCATTATTCCACAGTGGACGAAAAGGGAAAACAAGAGTCGATATATCATATATATCATATCACAAGAAAGCAGAAGAAATGCAGGAGGGGTATTTGATGATACTTGCCTTTCCGGTACCACCATCACCGACAAGGACGAGCTTAAAGGTTGGTACTTGCTGGTCAGCCATGGTGAAGGGTATGTGAGAGATTTAGTAAAGTAGAAGCAAAATGAGTGCGAAAATCGAGAAGTCGTCAAGCCGATGCGACAGCTGATGGGGGGTGAGAAAAGACGTTCGAAAGAACGGGAGTGGAGGAGGAACAAGAAGAGTGAGTGGGTGGGATGGTTTCTTCTACCAGTGATGGAATTTTTGCCGCGAGTCGGTCACCAAAGCCTCCACTCACGTGCCTGCTCGCCGCCTCAGGCCGCCATGCCCCGCCGTTCTTTCGATTTCTACGCCCACCGCCAATCGCCCGATTCTGCGGAATAAGTGCATACCTAGTAGTGAGAGACAAGCAGGATACATAGGTAGGTAGGACAAGTAAATCAATTAGATAGGCTGGCAGAGGACAAGAATCTGTTCAACTACGTACAGTCATACGAATACTACCAACATAACCGTTCTATATTGCTTCCTTTTGCAGTCCTTTGGAGGTTTCCATCCAGTGGATGGAAACTCCCAGCAGTACAAATGCCCCCTACATATGCGTTCTGTATTGCTTCCTCTCTCAATCCTCGGAACCTGAAGTTTCCATCCAGTGGATGCAAAGTTGCCAAGTGCATTTTCCACCTCCCATCCTAGCTCGCTTCGTGATTGAAGCACACTTTCTTCCCTCTCGTTCAGTGAAGCGAGACTTGCACCCAGGGATTCAATTGACAATGTCAAGATAGGACCTTGTTGAACTCCCGTGCTTCGTGCTATTGACGAGAAGACCACTACTCATTATGGCAACGTCGAGAAGGAGGACTGCATCAAACCTATTCATCATAATCCGTTGTTTCCTCATGGAGACAGATTGAAACGCCACCCTAGATGCTCCTTTGAAATTGCTCAAACACAGAAAGGAAAGTCATGAAACCATACCACATGCATCGTGATAGGGACGAAATAAATCATGCATGGTGATGCCAGTACTCATGATGAACTCGCTCGTATCATAGAGGAACTAGATGACAACCTAACAGACCCCGGCCACCCCAATCACGGCGAGGAGTGAGCGCCAGGCTGAGCTCAAGATCATTGGCCGAGTTCGGATCCTTTCTGGTGATGATGACCGCCACGGGGCGCTAATTTCAGGTTAGCCAAAGAAGCTTAGGAGACAGAAGACACAGAACGAGAAACGTACCCCCTCATTTTGCTGGACAACCTGAGCAACTTTCGACAGACGTTCGTGGTTCAACCAGTTCACACTTCCAAAATTCCGTACAGTATCGCCAGCTTTAAGTCCGGCTTGGTCCGCAGGGCTGCCAGGGACAACACTATTGACTTTCGCAAAAGGAACTCCGGCGGCCTCGCTCCCTGCAGCGTCACTGCCGGCTGCACTGGATGGTACAGCTTGCGTATTATTGGTGTTGCCATCGGATGGTGCAGTAGCCTGCGCACGCTGCAGGCTCGCGAAATGATCATGTATCCCCTTCTCGAGAAGCGACATGACTTCTTTATGATCCGTTCGTAGTCTGATGATGCGCGCTCGGGTGGTTCGTACTATCGGAGATCTTAGCATGAGGACTGTAGACAAGGCGATCGAGACTGACTTTGGGCGACATCTATGTCATCTCGGGGGTATCCATCGAACGTCGTCAAAGAGGTGTTCATGTGAACGCCATGCTATGTGATGCATGAGTAGATTAGTACCCGGTTTATAGGCAAGAGGGAGCAGAGGAGGTATGTGATGGTGCTTACGGAGCTGAGCACGCTGCTAAGAGCTGAGAGTTCCGCTTCGATGCGTTCTTTCTCTTGCATGAGATCGACGACACCGAGCTTGGATAGATCGCGAGCAGGAGCCTCTCCGGACGTGGGTCCGGAGGCGACTGTAGGAGCATGGATGTTATTATTGTTGTCCATGGATATTCCCATGCTATTATGGGACGGAAGATGAGTGTTCAAGGTTGGATGGATTCTCGCGACACCAGGATTGGGACAGTCGGGAAGATGACGGTGGTGGGTCTGGCCGCGGCGGGAAAATCTGGGGGAATTTCCCCTCTCGGTAAGCCGACATCAAAATATTTACTAAACTAGTAGTGGAATGTCTGCACTCACTGCAGCACTGTCTGCTACCATGCACAATGCACATTACATTACTTACATGATTAGACTACTCTGTAACCAATTGTCTGCCAGTATCACGACTAATAGGATGTCCTTGAACTTGCACTGCGAGAAGCTTTTAGTAACTGGTGTGACATTTATGCACTCCCAGGCATGATAATTGGGGAACACAGATTACGCTGGAGCTTCAACTAGTATTCTGGAACAGCGCCGTGCAGCGGTGTGCTCTAGGCCGCTTGAAAAAAGTGGATTGCTAAGAACAATGGCTCTAAGTACTGTCATTGTGTCTCTCTGTCGACCGGAGGCAAAGGCATATCCCCGACACTTCCCCTCCTTACTCGCCTGCGCTGGTCGTGGCTTCCTTCCATTGTGGCCACCGTCAGAATTGACATCCAACCAGCTACCAGTCGACTTATCTTCATACTGAACTAGAGCGAGCTAGGTTAAACTGTGTCGGTCGCCAGATATATCGCCATGGAAGAATCCAAGGACATCGCCGAGACGCCGGTGCTTGTGCTAGAGACAGCAGGACACGGAAAAAGACCAAACAATGGCAACACCGTTCCAGCAAGCTCAGACCCGGTAACAGCGTTCAAACGATGGGTGAATAGTCTGCGATCGCGGAGAGGCTTTCCTCCTGTCGATCCCCAAAGATACGTCGAAGGATGGATGGAGATACCCCAAACCGATCCATACACCGGTTCCGAAATGCCGCTTACCCAAGAAGCTCAAGAGAAGAAGTGGGAGTCTTGGTCGAATCACTCCTCTCACCTGGATACAGTAAAGACGACGACAATCAGCATTGCTAGTCAAAGTGTTGTGCGATCGAGGGGCACTACTCAAAGTACCACAAATCAGAGCGTCAAGTCGGACCTCCGTGAGTCGCTAGAGAGCATAAGGCCAGCCTTGAGTTCATCCATCGATGAGGACGCCCAGAATAGAGCGATCAAGAGGCGCCGTGTTTTGCGAGAGCTGGTTAGCACCGAGTGTGATTACGTCTTTGGTTTGAAAGCACTTGCTGATGTATACCTTTCACTTCCATACCACCTCCCAACCTGACTCCACACGCCGTTGAGCTAACCCCGTACAGGCACTTTTTATCTTCTCCGTCAGGCCGGAGATTTACTATAATGTTCAGCAGCTTCGAGATATACACGAAGATTTCCTAGCCCAACTTCGGAAGCTGACACCGATCTCCAACCTTGCTGGAGCCGAGTTCGACAGTTTAGTCCCTCAAACAGCCCACAAGCACTTTGGCGCCTTTGAATCGAGTTTTAGAGCACTTCATTCAAGGTCTCTGAGATCGCGAAGCTTCAAAGCATCGGTAAACTCACGCCTAAGGGCCCTCGCCGCAGAGACGAAAGAGGCTTTAGAGGTTGCGCAAGCCGTAGGAAGATTGGTGAGGTCTCCCCTGTTTCATCTTTGATTCCTTCTCTAATGACGATTCTCCTCTTAGTCAAGGAACTTCATGATTTACAAGCTGTTCTGCAGTAGCTATGGTTTGCTCACGTTTGATGTCGAGCTGCTTCGTTCATCTGTTCCCAATTGGCGGATCTTCGACTTGGGTATTGAGGCACTATCAAAATCCGTGGCTTCCATCGATAGACAAGCGCATGAGGAGCACAGATCTATGATCTTGGATGATCTTCTTATAAAGGTATGACTTTCTCGCTTTAGTGATTAGAATGCAGGCACTGACAACTTTATAGCCAGTACAGCGCCTGTGCAAGTACCCCCTTCTACTAGAGGAATTACTCCGCTGGACACATATTCAAGATGACCCATCCGCCCATGATGGCATTCGACAGATTCTGGAAAGTGTTCGACGGGTCGTGCAAGAAGTCAATCAAATCGTCAACAACCCCATAAACAGAGACCTGGTCTTCAAGACGAGGGAACTACAGAACATGCTGGACTTTCCAGAGGGGGTATGTCTCCATGTGTCCTTTTCAATTCCGAAAGGTTACTAAAGCGGCGTCTGTGAAACAGAACAAAACCCTTGATCTATACAAGCAGCTTGGGCCGCTGATACTTTGCGGTGTCCTGCATGTTACCTATTCCTCCCCTACAGAATCTGCCGCCGCTGGCTTCATGGTCTGCGTTCTATTTAGCAGCCACATTCTTTTTGCGAGCATGAACGACAACAATCGAAGGCTTGAAGCGCTGATGTGCCTTCACATCCCGAATCTCAAAATCGACACCTTGCATAATGGCGAAGGTGACTGGACTTTCCACCACATACTCTTCTTGGACTAATGAGTCGGTAGGCATTAGCTGTGACTGTGTGTTCTCCTGGAAGTTGGTATTCTATAACTCTGGTACGAGATATGAGCTGGTGCTCAGCGCATCGTCTGCAAGCGAGGAGAAGAAATGGACAACAGAGATACTTAAGTGTGCGGCAACGTCGACCAAAGTACAAAGAGATATTAGAGAGAGGTCAAGGCGGTTAGCATTTGTTTCCTTGGACTTGGTCCCACTGGATAGCACGGTGCTTCCTTTGTCTCGTCGACCATCGATGCAAACATTAGGCGCACCAAGACCGCCAGCGGAATACCCTATTGTAGTTATCAAGAGGACACATTGCCCGTACCTCCTAGAGGAACATAACCCAGCGGATGGCGATACAGATCGTTCTCAGGAGCTTCCAGACGAGCTCGTGACGACGGTCGTTGCTAAAAGACAAGACCGAATCCGTTTGGAACGTGTAATCTCGGCAGTCTATACACGGAATGCGCTTCCATATCCCGGCATGACTCTAGCAATGGGGGACCTTCTTTTCCGACCAGGCTCGATCATGAGGAGGAATCTTAATCGAAAACAGATATTGAGGAGACGTGCGAGCTTTGTGAACGTTAAGGCCACAAGAGCGGCTGCTGCTTCGGCCAAGAGGGAAATTCGTCCGTTGGACAGCGATTACAAGAGACTGGAAAAGGGCGACGGGGAGCTTGGACTCGAGAAGCCGAGATCCAACGGACCGGTACTTGATGATCAAAAGGGCCCTTGTGCTCTACGCGATGGTAGGGAAACAGTCAAACGTGTCAGGACATTCAAAATGACAGGCACGCCCAAGTCAACACACAGCCCTGAGACTCCTTTGACCAAGAAGAAGGACACAAGTCAGGAGCCCCCTGAGAACTCAGCTACGAAGCCATCCACAATCCGTAGGATGTTGAATTCCATGTCAACGAGGAAACCGAAAAAGAATGGACGCATGAGGGTGGGGAGTGGAGCTTCATGATGACAATGATGCAACTGATTTCCAGGGGCCACCAAGCACGGAGGGACAAGCATAGGCATGCATATCGCGGACAAACTTTTCCAAAAACTGTACTGGACGTACTCAGTACCCATGATTATTCTTGCAGTTTCCTAAGGGTTCGAGGACGTGGGGAAAGTCGACGCAGGTGTTTGATGGAGTACTTGGCGGGAGGTGGGGATAGTAATTAGCAGCGTTAGTGATCCAAAACGACCTAAATTGCTGGAACGAAGTGCGGCACGAGAATAGTAGTGATGATGATGACGATGATGCTATTTAGTGATGAGGGAATCTGATCACCTAATGAGCTGGTAGTGATTCTCCACCGAAGTTACAAGAAGGGAAAATACTGGTACTGTTGAGCGGATCAGTCGACGTAGCATGGACAAGACCGATGACGTCGGTTTTCACTTCAGCGCACGATGGCATGTTTTGACCACGTCGGTAGTATTATTTAAGGGTGGTTGTTGTCGACTTGAAGCCATTCAGTCTTCCAATTAAACTCACAAGCATCTATTATCTCAAGACTTAAGCAACTGAGCTTTTCATCAACACGATATCCCACCTTTCTCGCTACTCCGCATTTGCCTGATTGCCCCGACATCTTGACAGTCTGTTTCGGGTAACATTTTAGTGACGTCATCAACCAGCCCCTCCTCCAGACTCCATCCGACTCTACTTCAACTACTTTATCTCTTTTCTTCCCACCCCACCTTCTCTTGTTTCTCCTCCAGTACCGACAGTCAAATCTGCCTACTACGAGGAACTCTCAGTGATCATTATCTTTTCAAAACCACTCAATTGATTCCATCGTCAACCCCTCAAATCTGTCAAAATGCCTCGCGCCGTTGAGCAAACCTCCAAGATGTTTTACAAGGGTTCATCTGATGACTTCGTCATCTTTGTCGACGACAACGACATTGTGAACAAGTGGCGCAACGACCGCTCCATCCCCCTGGCCGACGTGGTCAACGGCTTCAAGATCTTTGTCACTCACAAGTAAGCTTCTTCTCCTTTCCAACCCAACTTGCTCCCCTTCAATACACACTCCTGTTCTAACGCAATTCCAACCCAGGCACGGAGCCCAGGGTATCCTGGACAACGCCAGCAAGTCGAGCCTCCAGAACGAGTTCGGCACCGACAACGAGGACGACTGCTTGATCAAGATCTTGGAGAACGGTGAATTCCAGAGCTCTCAGGTAGGATTTCCACCAATCACAACTTTGTCGTCTAGTATAAGCAATTACTGACCTTGTTCTGTGATTTCTCCAGTCCCGTGAGCGTCAGGATGACACCAACTTCGCCAACGGCCCTGCTCTTCGATAGATGATGCTAGACGCTTTCTAATAAGCTGATGCTACTGCTGGCTGGCTGGCTGGCTAGCTGTTTTCCTGTTCTGCTGCAGAAGTGTTCAGGATAATTTCTTTGATGTTTATTCTCTCTTGATGAGCCCATGTGTTTCTAGCGGATGAAATATGGTTTTTTAAACCTGGTACCATGGTACCAACCAATCTGGGGTGTTTTGAGAAACGTGTGATATGTTGATTGTGGTGGAAATAAGTGGACTAATTTAGTAGTGTCTATTTGTTTGATAACTGAATACAAATACCCATGTCAGATCTGGAAGGAGTGTGCAACTTGTAGACTTTTTTTTCGATTTAGTAATTGAAGGTTAGATCGATATATATCTAGTTGTCATTGATCCCGACTGGAATTATCCTCATCAACACTACGGTCTTTTTGTTGCTGCTGCTGCTGCTGCTCCTCCCTCTCCCCCCGGCGCTTCTTCACCCACACCCCCAGCTCATTCCACACAGCCTGTTTCTCCGCCACCGACATCCCAGCCGCCAACCCACTCGTCGTCGTAGCCACAAACACCCTCGCCCCAGGCCAATTCTTTTCTCCTGCTGATGACGACGATGACGGCCCCGACCCACCACCACCACCATCCTCATCGCCCGAAATGACCGCTCCCATATTCATCCCCTCATCCTGCCACCCGTACCGAAACTCCTCCTTCCGGATCCTGCGCCCCGTCTTCACCCGCCACACCGCCTCCCAGATACTCTTCCCGACCAGACACACGACGGCGGGCCGCTGCGCCGCCACTTTCGCCTCGAGCACCGGCACCCCCGCGTCCATCTCCGCCCGGCTGAGCATGCTGGCGTCCCGCGTCGGCCGCTCCACGATGTTCGTGTTCCCGATGTTGTACAAGCCCGGCAGCGCGTAGGTGTCCGACGGCGGGTGCCGGATCGCCGTGATTCCCGACCAGTGCAGCAGCTTCCAGAAGAGGTTGGAGGGGTGCGCGTACGCGTGGCCTGTCACGCCGGTGAGGATGCCGGGGTTGACGCCGACGAGAAGGAGGTCCAGGTTTTTGGGGATTGTGTCGCGGAGGAGGCTGGGGGTGGTGGGGGGTGTTGGGGGTTTGGGGGTGCGGGTGCGGGTGCGGCGGTGGCGGGGATTGGTGGTGGTGCTTTTGGGGGTTGTGGATGGTGAGGATGAGGGTGATGGTGATGGTGATGGTGAAGATGGGGTTAGTGCTGAGGATGGGGTGGAACGTGAGCGGGTGAAGGAGCGGGTGATTCGTGTTGTGGTTGTGGTTGTGTTTGTCGAGGGGAAAGTGCGACGTAGCATGGTGGTTGTTGTGCGTTGGCGCTTGAAGGAGAGTGAGGAGATGCTCGACTCGTCTGGTCTATTCTCTAGATATGGTTGTTGCGGTGGTGGGGAGAGTTTACGTTTTGAGCGAGTCGTCGCGAGGTCTTGCGAGGCATTGTTGGTGGTGGTGGTGGTGGTGGTGGTGGTGGGTTTGAGGGTAGGAGGCTCGGTGGCGATGTTCTTCGCTGTGTGGAAGTATTGGTTCAATCTCCCGTTGAAGCTGGTCTTCTTGTTCACGGGGACATTCTCGATCTCTTCAGCCAAGCCGATATCTTCCTCAAAACGCTTCGTGAGGAGCAAAGCTGACATTGTGTTGCTGCGAGGGAGGTTAAACTGGATGTAAATTCTGGTCTTCGGGAGTCAGTAGAAATGAGTAGACGGTTTTATGTTTACAAGTGATCAAAGTGATTGGGTTAGTGGCGCTCGCGGACTCTTGTCCCATCCAATGAGCTCATCTCAATGGCAAAAATTGCAGTGGCGTTGCCTGTCTGTCTGTCAGGCCTCGAGCGGATAAGATGGAGTTATCCAATATCCAGTTGATTCAGTCCAGGAACGACTAATCCCATTGGAGTAATTTTGGTTAGTCGCTGCACCACCTCAGGCACTGAACTAGCCTGACTGTCATGTGAGTAAAGTGAAGCCTCGGAATCCAGGCACAAATGGATCAGTCACATCTCACAGTGAGCCAGGAGTTAAAATTTGGTTGCGATTGATCGTTTTTTGGACAGATATATTTCTTGTAATCTCTAGGATTATGTATGCTAGCTATATCATAGTATTTACAATAAGCCCAAGGTGATTAGTACTGTTGCTCTTTGGAGCATAGATCGCCACCAAGACTTTGAATGCTGATTCCTCCTGCATAAGAGCTGGAAATGGTCATTACCGACTATATCCCAAATATTTCTCTTCCCAGACGCCAATAATGATATAAGGGTATTCGCAAAACTGTCACCGTGAATTTCGTAGTCATAAGTCTTTCATGGAAAGCAGGCAGAATGAATCAATGCCACACTATACTTTGTATTCGCTTCGTTTAGGTAGGGTCCAAGGTTCGGGACATACCACCTGTGCTCATGTTAGCTCAATCACCACACACTCGATGCGATCGTGGGCCACATACTTCGCCCTCGCTATAAGCCCAGAAATAAACCCCGATCCCGATGAGGTAGTATATCGCCGGGTCCGTCCCTTGGTAGAGAAGCATAGCGAGAAGAGCGCTGAGAGGATAGAGGATCAATCGGAACTCGATGCTGCGGTGTGGTATCGAGCCCGCGACATATTTCAGAGGCCATTCCCAGGCGATGCCAACCAGCCCCATCAGCAGATTGAGGATTTGGAGTATCGGAATAGGCGTGACGGCGCCGTTCAGATTCTTCGTCATAAAGTCCCAAAATACTTTGGGCCAGATGAACCCCTCGACTGCGCTTCCTATTTGGACTGGCAGTGAAGCCTCCGGTGTTAGCGATCGCAATTGACTTCGACTCAAGTGAGGTCAAGACTTACAGGCTGCCGCTGTGAGGATGATCAAGCGAGCCCAGTGGTTCTTGATAAGTCTTCCCATGACTGGCGATATGTTCTATCCAATAAGTGGAGTATGAGCAGCGTCTTCCGTCCTGCGAAAGAGTCGATGCTCGGCGGTGGTTATTCTTGGTGTTTTATCACCAACTTTGCTGGGTGCTTGTGGCTTGATGGTGGACGTTACTCCATCACTAGGTCAACTGAAGGTCCACGGAGTAGGTATAATAGTAATGGTATAATCCCTTCCTGATTGCATGGTAGATCAAGCGTTCAAATGATAATGACCCGTGCGTCGGGTTTGTGAACATCAAGATAGAAGCAACCTCGTATCGTCAAATCACATCACCTCAGAAGGTTCAGCCCCAAAAAGATCAGATCATGCCTCGAAAGGCCGATCCCTCGATAGGACTTTATGAGAGAGTGGGTGAAGGAGGAGGGGACTTGAGAGACAGGCGGAATACATCAAGATAGTAATAGCTCCCAGCGGCAAAAGAAGTACACACCACCTGACCGCGGCGGAATCTTTCTTCTTCCACTCTTCAACTGGGAACCATCCATAGTCTACCTGGCAAGCTAACGCACTTCCCGTCCTTTCGTCTCTCACCTATCATTATCATGACCGGACGTGATAACTGCTTCTGTTTTAGCGACCGCTCCTTTTATCAGACCAATTGAAAATGTCTGGTTACAGGAATTCACCGATCCCCCGCCCTGCTTCTTCACAGAAACGCACCTCCCTGTACTCTTGATTGGGCGCGCTTAGTCGGAGGAGCCGTGGCCCATGCCAATGCCTTTGGGTTGACTGGCCCTGAAAAGCCCCGGTTGGGCGCTACCGGACGCAATTAATAGCCACTGAGCGGCGAAAGTCTGGCTGGACGATCGTCTCCAGCGAGTCTTGAACGTCGACGAACGTGACGGTGGAGCCACTCATGCAGAGGACTTCCGGAAACACACTTTAGCGGCCGATGCATCTGTACCAGTACCCTGTTCTTCACTTCTGATTGAACCGCCCCGAGGTTCTTGTGGAGCGCCTTCGTGTGAAGACCGACAAAGCGGGGGAGCAAGTGGCTGGATGCCCTGTTCGTCTTTGCGTTCCCCTTGTAAGGCGCCTAGCCAGGCTACACACGGTCCGACGCATTGAATTTCGCTCAGTTCATTGAGTGTAAGCGCCCTGTAGTAAAGGCTTTTGGTCTTGGACATGCCTAAGGATGCGAATGATCCGGTGGTAGCAAAACCGAGAAAGGCTGTCTTTTTTTTGGCCACTCACCGTCTTTTCCTCGGTAAATTGTCGCTGGTCATCTACGAGAAAATTCGAACAAAGGCCACTGATGTGGGTTACCCACATGGTCTGAGTCTTTGTGCAGTCGCTATCACGGAGTCTTTGTGATGGAACTTGCCAACCGTGCAGCGCCAAGCGGCCTTAGAACACCTTCGGCCTGACATGCGGATTCCTTCAACGCATCCCCCACGAAGTCATGGCTGATAGCTCTCCTCGGAGGTGAATTCTGGTTTGGTCTAGTACCTGAAGGATGTTTGTCTTGGCCAGCAGGAGACCTTATTTTTGGCATCATCTTGAATCTAATCTCCTCTGCTTGCCAGTGCATCGACAGCCACAATAGGGAGTTGTGTCTGTTCAATGGCCGCTCGGGCCATGTGTGACGGGAAGCGCGCTTGCATATCGCTTCTCATAGGTTGAACGCAGGCCCCAACTCCACCCTCTTAAAGCCAATCTCCACGAGACATGGAGAGCAGGTGGTGAGCAGTTGGCTGGATGAACCGAGTTTCGAAGGCAGTAGAGCATCCTGGCGCCACATGGTTCGTCCTGTAGTGGGCACCAGGACTTCATGAGATAGACAGGATGGTGACGAAGAGCCACCAAGTCATCCGGCTCCTCGGGCCCTGCTATGGCCGCCATTGCTACACCAATTATCACGGCATGACGATGGTCCCACAGCTGTCAAACCTCATGATGGACGGTGTGACAGTTGCCATTTGGTGTTCCTGACCCGGGGATACGAGGTCAAATATGATCAATCGTTGCGAAATTTCAGGGACATAGCGCAGAGCTCACGGTCAAGCACGCGCACCACCCGATGGCTTAAGCATGAGAGAGAGTAGACGCTCTCAACACATTGGGCCTTTACATGTTCTGGGGGATGTAGTAAACGAAGTTACGCTACTCAACCGGCTGATCCGTTTCCTGCAGGCTGCCCTAGCGTCACTTAGGCTGAGGCCCTGAGCAGGGGTCGCGTAAATATAGCAACACGTTTCCTCGTCAGGGCGCCTTTCCCCTCTTCACTTGCAACCAGAACCATATCTCTGGGAACCTGACTTTTTTCTTTTCGACGACGTCCACCGCCACACCCCACACTGAAGCTCGCCAGAGTCTCTCATATGCTGGATTTGATCACGATAACGATGGTCGCGTTCAGTCTGTTTCTTGACACTCAATTGGCCCTGAACACTCTCCCCTGATTGGACTCTCCGCACGCTGAAGACTTTGACACGGCAGTTGAGAGAAAAGGCTTTTTTCCCACGCATAGACTATCAGCGTCGGGGTCTGAGAGTAGACAAAGTTCATCGCTGACTCTATTGATGTACTAAAAATACTTAGAATCATCCCTGATTCTCCAGAACTTCAGGAACTCGACCTGGTCACACTCCTTATCGTCCGCAGGAATCAAGTCATTGGCTGCTCGTTTACTGTAGCTGAAATCGACAAGGTGCCTGTTGTATGCGAATATCCAGACATGCAAATTGCCGTGAAGAGAAGACTCGATAACAGCGTGCACATTCAATAGAGCTCATAGGTATTTGTGTTCGTTCATATCTAAGAATCGTCGCTGGTCGATGAGTTGCTCAATATTGGAAAAGACACCTACTCTCCTTTTTGCATATCTTCTCCATAACGACAATGACAAACTCTTGGAAATCCCACTTTAGCGGATCCAAGATCTGGTTCTATTTACTATTCTGGGGATTGCAGATTGTGCTTTTTGCAGTCGGCTGGTAAGTCTCTTCTTGTCAATTTGGATATCGTCGTTTTACTCACAGACCATAGGTACCTACAAGTGACTAATCACAAACTCGATGCCTTGAACACCCTAAAGTACTCAGTCTGGATCTCGAGAGGTGCAGGTTTGGTCCTGAGCTTTGATGCGGCTATTCTTCTTTTGCCCATGTGCAGGAATCTGCTCAAGACCCTAAGGCCGCGATTGCGATGGCTACCGCTAGATGAGGCAATATGGTTCCATCGCCAAGTTGCTTATTCTCTCCTAATATTTACCATCATTCATACTGCTGCTCACTACGTCAAGTATGCTACCTTTGAGGATAGAGTGGGTCACATATGCTAACAGACAGTAGTTTCTACAATGTTGAGAAAAATCATCTTCGCCCTGTCACAGCAGTCCAAATTCATTTCACCGAGGCAGGAGGCATCACCGGTCATGTAATGCTCTTGTGCATGATGCTCATGTACACCACCGCCCATCAACGAATCCGGCAGCAGTCGTTCGAAACATTCTGGTATACGCACCATCTTTTCGTCCCTTTTTATCTAGCTCTTTACACCCACGCTACCGGTTGCTTTGTTCGCGACACCACGGACCCCATCTCACCCTTCGCAGGGAAAAGGTTCTGGAACCATTGCCTGGGATACGAAGGCTGGAGATGGGAATTAGTGGGCGGGGCGCTGTACTTTTGCGAAAGGCTTTATCGAGAAATTCGGTCAAGGCGGGATACAGTGATCACTAAGGTGATCCGTCATCCATACGGTGAGTTCAATGTAAACTCCAAAACCAATCCAAAAGCTGACTCTTCGAAGATGCCATGGAAATCCAGTTTCGTAAACCAAGCATGAAATACAAGGCCGGCCAGTGGCTCTTTATCCAAGTTCCCGAGGTTTCTAGCAACCAATGGCATCCCTTTACTATCACCTCCTGCCCTTTCGACCCCTATATCAGTGTGCACGTCCGCCAGGTTGGGGACTTCACCCGTGCCTTGGGAGATGCTCTGGGCTGTGGGCCCGCACAAGCAAGAGATCTGGAAGGTCTCGACCCATTGGGAATGTACGAAGTGGCCCTCCAGAACGGCCAGAAGATGCCGAAGTTACGCGTGGATGGGCCTTACGGAGCGCCGGCGGAGGATGTTTTCGAGAACGAGATTGCGGTCCTCATCGGCACTGGTATCGGGGTCACCCCATGGGCGTCTATCCTCAAAAGCATCTGGCACTTACGTGCTCGGCCCAACCCGCCCCGGCGGCTCCGCCGTGTCGAATTCATCTGGGTCTGCAAGGACACCTCCTCATTTGAGTGGTTCCAGGCTCTGCTCTCATCGCTCGAGTCCCAATCCGCATCCACCGCTGCGTACGAAGGCAGCGTCGAGTTCTTGCGCATTCACACATACCTTACCCAACGCCTCGACGACGACACGGCCGCGAACATCTACCTGAATTCGGTGGGGCAGGACCTCGATCCCCTCACGGAGCTCCGTAGTCGGACAAACTTCGGTCGGCCCGACTTCAAGCGCCTGTTCAGCGCCATGCGCGATGGCCTACAGGATCAAAGCTACATGTCCGGGCTATACGACAATACACCAACGCAGGTTGGAGTGTACTTCTGCGGCCCCAATGCGGCAGCGAGACAGATCCGCGAGGCGGCATTGTCGACCTCGACAAAGGATATCAAATTCAAATTCTGGAAGGAACACTTCTAATATACAGAAGAAGAGTGATCTTGATCTGAAGAGTGAGGAAGAGAGTGGTGGGTGTGGGTTTACTTATGATATGATACCATGATGACTAACGACATTTCCTTTTTTTTTATCTCTTTTTACCTTGGATTAAAGTTTGTTTAACTGTTTGTTTCATTGTTGTGTGCAAGGCATTCTATTGTGTCTACTACTTCAACCATCTGTACTTGTCTCATGATGCTATGTCCTGTAACATATTGGGGGTTTATGTAGGGTTAGGTACGGTACGGTAGCTAGAAATACGGCTTAGGCTCGAGTGCAAGGAATCGATTTCACTGTCAAGACTCCATGACCGCCAGTCAACCAGTCGCCTCGCTGCAGTAACCCACTCGCCACCCATGGAAAAAAACCATTGTACTGTACATCCCGAATTGCAACTTTTGAGGACATATTGATAACTACTTTACATAAACCAACCTTCACGCTGCTCTCGCCTCCGCCCCCACTCTCGACTCACCCTCACTATCATCACCATCATCAGGCATCCGGATGACCCCACCGCCAAACTCTCCCCACCCCGCTCCTTGCATCTCCACCATCCTCCTCGCCGCAAGATCATCCAGCTCCTGCTCGATGTCGACATGGATCCGCAACTCCTTCTCCACCAACACGTTGTACACATGTCGCAGCTCATCGAAACCCATCCCTTCTTCCCCTTTCCGCGGCGGTGCATCTCCGAGGTGACTCGGGCGGAGGATGTCCGCTCGCAGATGCGTGAACGCCAGCATGATCAGCTCCTTCGACCAGGGACACGCGCGCATGCCGCGGTAGAAGACCTCCTTGGCGCGGTGGATCTCGCGCTGTGCAAGTTCGAACAGGATGTAGAGTTTCCAGGTCGAGGGGTTGGAGCGGGCTGATGAGGAGGATGACGGTGATGTTGAACTCGGGGATGAGGATGAGGGTGCGGACTTCGGAGTGTCGTCGCCGATGGCTTCTTCGAAGGCTGCGCGGACGGAGTGGGCGGTGGAGCCGGCGAAGACTGGGCGGCTGAGTTCGGTATAGATGGAGAAGAGGTGCGTTGTGATTGGGATAGGTGGGGTGGAGAGATTGTAAGGGTCCGTGGGGTTTTTGGTGGTGGTGGTGGTGGTGATGTTGCTATTGCGGATGATGTCGCGGACGACGCTGCGGACGCGGTCGTCGATACGGAAGCGGGCTTCGGTCCAGGCGAAGAGGGAGAGGAAGATGGTGTTGTGGGGGAAGAGGGTGATGCTTTCGGATAAGAGGGTGCGGATGTGCGAGGGTTTGTAGGTGCGGCGGGTGTGGATGTGGTGGTACAGGAGTCTTGCGCGGGATTGGTGGAGGAGCTCGGTGGTGTAGGTTTGGAAGGGGTTCGATGACTGGGGGAGGGAGCTGAGTCGGTCGAGAGCGTGCGTGTACGCTTCGAGGGCTTTGTGGAGGTCCTGGGAGTTGGTGAGGTAGGAGAGGATGGCGAGGCTGGCTGTGCTGGCTGTGAAGTTGGTGGCCTTGCGGTGGGCGAGGACCTTTTCCTGGAGCTCGGAAAGATGCTGTCTGGATGTTAGTGCTGTAGAAGGGTGATCAGAGGAGAATTTAAACTTACGCTTTGGATTTTGAGGAGGCTGGTTGGTGTGAAGGTAGCTTGAGTTGAGTCCTGGGGTAGAGCACTCAGATCAATGCTGTTTTGCGGGATGCTCAGTAAGATGTAGGAAGCATGAGCCATATTGCCGGTGTCCAAAAGCTCCCACAGCCATGTTTGCCACAGTAAGATGCTATCCACTCTGTCATGGTCAGGGAATGTCCTGCTCATTGAGAGCGCTGTTGCCCACACATGATCAGCTGCGCCGTGGTTGCCTGACCGACGCTCCATCAGCGCATATGCATTGTACAGCCGTAAACTAGTTGACCTCTTCTTGAGTAGAGACTTCGCAAACTTCTTCGCGTCTTTGCTACTACATGAGAACTCGACGCAGAGCGCAAATTCAGCCAAGTCATCATTGCTGGGATTGGCATCTACCAGCAACCTCAGAGCTCTTCGCACCCACATAGGGACAACATCGAATTCTGAATTCGAGGTGGCTGTGTTCCACGTGTCTAAAGACGAGAACCATCTCCCTTGCTCAGGAATGAGGGTCTCAATTGTGCTGATAAGATTGATTTGAGGGAATCGGAAGGGTGACAGCGCCGTAGATTCGTCTGCTGAGCATGCGCGCGAAACCCAGTCATCGATCCTAGAGATTGCGGTGCTCATGATTTCATTTCGAACGAATGGATCCCCGGTTCTACGGCCATTGGAGCTCTGATTCTCCGCCGTCACCATCGGCGGAAGGCGACAAAAAGAGAGAAAACCATCGAGCAGTAGTGTCGGCGAGTCCACTTCCCACACGAGGGTCAGGATCTCATCGAGATCGGAGGCCAAGATCACACGGTAAGGGTCCTCATGCTCGGATTCGTTCAGACTGAAAGCAGGCAACCGCGCATTGGTGATCTTTTCTCTTTCACATGGCGCCCAGGACGGAATCAATCTCTTGGGATCGAGGCGAAACACGGGATTGAATTCCTGCTGAGTGGGTAGATCTTTGCTGCCACTCTTCCAACCTTTCGCAGCCGCATCACCTATCCGGGCGACTTCAGACTCCCAAAAGTCTAAGAATGGCGGAATGACCTCTTTGCTATCATGCCTTTCCTTCAAAGGTTCTGGTCGGAAGAATGCCACCTCAAGTACTGCCTGCCAGAGAGCTGCTGCATGCTCAGCGAAGCCCGCTTCGCGCATGAAAAGCGTCAAGCGGAGAAAAAGATACATTTGAACCTGGGACTTCCCGGGGTTCTCTGGCGCAGACTGATTCAATCTCAAACACTCGATATATGTATCAAGGCACCGTTGATATGTGAAATTTAGGAATTCAGTCTGGCAAAAGTCAAGGTATTTCACCCATAGGCTTATAAATTGCGAATTGGAACGTAGAACGGTCTGCCACTGTGCGGCGAGCTTCTTGGTGTCCCAGAGCTTTGCACCCTCCTCGAGAAAGCCAATTAGAAGTCGGTCTTTTGCCTCGCTCTGACCAACTTTACTAAGAGCCTTCTCGTACAGAGACAATTTGATGTCAGCCAAGCTCTGCTTTTCTGCATATGTTAAGGGTTTGTTATCGCCCGCTGATCCGCGCAATAATGATTCTTGATGAGCAATGTACTCAAGCCAGGAACCAATGTCTGCGGAACTCTTCTCTAAGTTCCGCGACAATAGCGCATTCCTCTGCTTGATCTGCTCATCAGGATCTCCACGGATGCCATCTTCATCGGCGTCACTGTCGGACGTGGCTTCGACATCGCTGGGCAAGTGATCTTCCGGTTTCGCCTTGCCATGAATAGAGCGATATGCGTATTTCTCATCGTCAGTTTCAGGGTCTCCAAAAGCCACCCGATGCTTTCGACTACCGGAAGTACTCAAAGGCAGATAGTCCTTGGAGAAGTCTGCAGCTGCATCGAGCAATGACTGGGGTTTGAAGCGAAGCAGTCGAGGGTGCTGTTTGCTGAGACCCGAGAGAATGCTTTTCGTCTTGTTTCGGGAGAGTCCTTTCCTTTGCGTTTCATTTCTTATAACCAGCTTGTCTTCCACGACACTGTCCCGGTCTATACGGTAGCTCGATGGTAGGCCCAGCACATTACCTCGTCCAACGCGGTAATAATCAGGAACGCTGTAGCGATGAAGAGTGCCGTAGATCAAGTTGTGTTTGTCTCCTTTGAGATCAATGACGTACAAATCCGACGCATCGTCCTTCTTCGTAGCGTCGCGGTTGGATAACGAAGTATGCGGGGTTTCGGAGGTGGTGCGATCATGGTGGTTAGCCTTATTGACATTTGAATGATGTTCCCTGTCCCTGTGTCTGCGGCGACGCTCTCGCGATCTGGACCGATCACGATGGCTTCGATGTCTCGATTGGCGCTCTGAATGAGACCTCGACTTGTCCTCGTGGCCAGTGTTGTCGCGACGCGGGCGCTCGGGCGGACGATCAGCTTCGGGCGGAGGAGGAGGCTTGAAGCTGGCGAAGCGAGGGACGGGTTTCTTCTCCTGGCCAAGAAGTTCGAGTATTAGCTAGAGGGAGTGAAGAGATATGCAATTCAAGAATCATTACTCACCTGGGAGCCAGACGAATCCATACTCCTGGACAATTAAGCTAGGCATTCTCAGAAGGGGAATCTCCGCTCTCCAACGGGGCGGGCGGTGATGATGGCTGGAAAAACTCCGCTCCCGCTTGCCGCACTTTTTTCCGGTCTCTAAAAAAAAGTTGCTCCGAGCTTCACTGATTCCCACGGCGCTGGGGAAATTCTGCCCGCCAAAACGTTTAAATACCGTGTCGAAATTCACCTGGAGGCGCTTTTTGAGGGATGGGTCTGCGGTACAGTTGTCGATAATTAAAAAAGTACCGATCTAGCGACATAAAAATCCTCCAACATGGCTTCATCTCTCGCCGCGCAGCTTGCGCAGGTTGCGGCAAAGTCGACCAACCAGTTGGACCTCAAAGCACAGCGCATTTCGCATTCGCAATCTCTCATCTACGACCGGAGAGTCGCTACTTCTCAGGACTTCGAAACTATTTATGCGATATGTCACGAAGGCTTCCAGGAGCTATGCCAACTCGATCCCCGATTCGCCCCGTTCGAGCGCACGATCTTCAGCCAACAGAGTATCTCGGAAGACCGCACGGAGATGACCGCTGCCCAGAATAAGGAGCTCAACACAGTATTGGAAGCTTTCTTGGCTTTGGTTGGAGGCAGACTTTTATTGAGTCCGGCCGTGAGGGCCGTTGACTGGCTCATCAGACGCTTCCGGTACGATCTCCATTTTCGACTGGAATATTTCCATGCTAGGAGGAATCTTGCCTCTCCATAGCTGAGCTGACTCCTCGACAGGGTACACGAGTACAACACCGAATTCACTCTTCTCACTTTCCTGCCATATTACACTACTCCGCTTTTCTTAAGGCTCTTATCGATATTGCCCGAAGATCTGACGCCGACCTTCAAAATCTTGAATCCGTACAAGAAGAGCAACATCAACCCCCCACGCCATCCTCTTTTGCACAGCGCTACTACCAACAAGTTATTCTTCGCGGCTCTCAACAGATATACCCTCCAGGTTAGCAAGCAGCGGGCGCATCACCATGCGCTTTTGACATTTTGGGCTGGAATGATCACCGAAGCAGTTGTCGGAATGCTGGATGCTGGACGCTCTGGTCGGCGGGATCTCGAAAAGGAGAAGCACGAGGATGTCATCCTCAAGGTTCTCCCGATTTTGAATGATGGTCTCGGAATGAAGGACGTTTCGGAGCTGGTTATCGGCTGTTACATGGTTTGCGTTGTTCTGGCCAACAAGGCTTCCCTAAATGAAGAATTCCTTGATTCTTTAATGGAGGCTGTTGCTGGTTCGTGGACTGAGGAAACTAGAGAATCGGGTCTCGTCTGTCTGTCTGTTCTTGCGCAAGCGAAACCAGATATGACAATTCCCAAGAGGGCTTTCAAGGCAGTGCTCCGCCTGGAAGATCCTGTGCAGCGGCTGACTGAGCTCTCTACTCAATACAAGACTTCCCACCTCTTGCTTGGTCTGGTAGCTGGCTGCGTGAACGATCTCTCGAGACAAAAAGACTTGGCACGCTTGGAGTTTCTTTCTCAGATCTTCAATGCCCGTCTTCTGGAAGAATCGGACACGGCCAAGGCAATGTCTTTGGTTCTTCATGCCACTAGCAATGCTCACCGGGAGGGTGCTTTGGCTCTTGATGCCCAGACCCAGCTTGCTGAGCTCGTACAGCACTTCACTCAGTCCGAATCCTTGCGCCCTATTTTCCAGAAGGCGATCGAAGAATCTCAGTTCGACATCCCTGCCCTGGAACACAATCTGCAAATTGTCGTAGAGTCTGCACCTGCCGCTAGGGCTTTGGAAGACGTGGAAATGGGGGATGCTGAAGTTGAAGAAGCGGAGGATCAGTTCCCACCTGCCCTGGAGTCTCTCGCTGGAAAGAGCCTGGATGTCTCAGCCCTCAGCGCCCAAAATCTACCTGTCTTTGAGAGTCTCGTGCAAGTGTTTGCTCTTGGCGTTGGCTCTGAGGAGAAGCTTGAGTCTTTCGTCAACCTGCCGTCGCTGAAGAGGACCGATGCCTTCAAATCAACACAGTATCTGTCGTTCCTGGCCAGAGTATCAACCGGTGCCTACCCTACTGGCACTAGAGTTGCTGCCCTGAACCTGATCACTTCGGCCCTATCTTCCGCATCTGATGTCGATCTTCAGGCTCTGCTGCCCTTCCTGCTGGTAGCGTTCGCCGACCCGACCGAACGCATTCGACGGGCAGCAACAGACGTCCTGGCAGCGCTTGGCAACGTCTATAAGCAGAACAAGAAGTCTGATACTAAGCCTTGGGCCAATGAATCGCTATATGGCCAGCAAACAAAGAATGTGAAGTGGTTGGTCGGGCGTGATGTCCAGAAGCTTGTGGAGCGTGTCTTGCTCCCCGGTTTAGAGGAATATATCCTCGACCAAGATCATTTTGGTCGTGTCCTCGAGACGACGTTGCGAGGCTTGTCGACTGCTGATTCCGCGGCAACCGAGATTAAAAAGTCACTTCGCCTCAGTGTGTTCACTTTCTTGTGCTCTCATGCTGTTCACATGCCCCTTCTTGCCCCCAAGCTGGGACTTCTGAAGCTTCTTAACAGAATTGACAAGGCAGGTGGCACAACCCGTACTAAAGAATTGGAACCTCTTCTGAAGTATTGGCGAGACCTTGACGATCTGAAAGTTAAGGAGGTTTGTGACAAGGAACGCGTCTCGGTGGGCGAAATGGATGAGCAGGTTGTTTTGACGGTTACCCCGAAGGAAAAGGATGCTATTCTTGTGCTTCTTTCGAACGTGAGCCCTTACTCCAACTCTCTCAGAGCATCTTTCGTTGCTTCCATTTTTAGCCGCATGAAGGATGTTTGGGCCTTGGTGCCCGAAGACAGACAAATTGAGGCTTCGGAGAAGCTCTTCGGAATCTCGCTTGAAGAGTCGGATTCTCTCCTTGTCAACGGATGCAGGGACGTTCTGCGCAGTGTGCAATTGACGGGCTCTGTGCTTCAATTCTTCCTGCAGAAGATCCCTGTGTCCATTACTGATATGGAATCTGCTGGACCAGCACCGAAGAGGAGACGCACCAGCCAGACCAATATGGTTGCCATGACTGTCAAAGATGAAGCTAAACTCAGCAAGCTGATGGAGAAGACGACATTCATTTTGGAGCTGGTGGACAGCTCAAACCCCGAGTCTCACCCTGAACTGGCCGATGGCCTCTTCCAGACGCTGGCAGCTCTTCATCATTTCAAATCGCAGATTCAGTCAGGAATGAGCTACCTGCTCAGCTTGACTCTCGGTAGCCTGCTGGCTATCGTCAACAAGTCGAAGCAAACTGCCAAGCCTCAATTTGACACCTCAGTCATCCGAGCGGATCTTGTTGTCGATTGTGTTCGTACGACAGATAGCCCGCAAGTTCAGAACGCGGCTCTTCTGCTCGTTGCTGGCCTGTCAATCATCGCCCCTGAATTGGTCCTGCATAGCGTCATGCCCATCTTCACCTTCATGGGCTCTAGCGTTCTCCGTAAGGATGATGAATACTCCGTGTCTGTCATCGACCAGACCATCGATCAGGTCGTTCCCGCTCTTATTCAGTCTCTTCGTAACCAGAAGCGTGACGTGGTCTCTGGAACTTCTGAGTTGTTGTTGAGTTTTACCGCTGCTTTTGAGCACATTCCTGCTCACCGTCGTCTGCGTTTGTTCCATGCTCTGGTCACCAAACTAGGGGTTCTGGACTTCCTGTTTGCTGTTTTGGCTATGCTGGCTAATCGCTACGCCATGGACAAGGATGTTCTCGTTCTGATGACTGGTCTCGTTTCTGATGCCAGCGCACCCATTGAACTTGAGGTATGTGGCGTTGTGTCTATTATGATGCCTCTATTTGTGACTAATCGTCCTACAGACATACAGCAAGTTCTTGGACTTGGTCATTGACTCGCTCAAGCCCAAGCCTGGCATTTCTCAAGTCCTGCTTGGAATCGGAAGTGATGACGGTCGTGAACCCCAGAAGGTCGCCGTCGATCTGCTCAGGTCACTGGCTCACCTGTTCAAGCACTCTTCGCTGAAGGTAAAAATGGCCAAGGCTTTCGCAACAGATTCGGACGACCAGACAGTCCAGATCCGCACCCACTTCTCTCATATCTTGGAGAAGGTTCTGTTCATTGGCGAATCTATGCAGAACGTCAAGCCTGTTAGCCAGGCGAGCGGTGATGTTCTCAGCGCCTTGTTCGGTACTTTGTCTCTCGTCGATTTCCTTGATACTATCGAAGTCCTTCTCGAACGACCTGACGACGAACTTCGCCGCAAGGTTCTTCGACTCCTGGAGGGTCGTTTGCGCCAGAACCCTGAAAACGACGGTGTCTCACAAACACGCATGTTGGACTTCTTGCCTACGTTGGTCAGCATTGTGGAATCATCGCCGGATATTCTGCTCAAGCATGCTGCAGTGGCCTGCATCGACCGTATCGCTGAGAAGTACGGCAAGAAGGATCCTTTCAAGGTGGCCAGTGCTGCCCAGGTGGTTGCCGGCGCGGCTTGTATTGGACAAGATGATGAGCGGATTCGTATCATGGGTGTCCTGTGTCTCGCTTCGATGGCCGAGGTACTTGGCGAAGCTATGATCCCTGCACTTCCAGATGCGCTTGGTCGCTCGTTGGAATTGCTCGACATCAGCCTGGAAAGTGGCAAGGAGAACTCTAGATTGCATGATGCCGTCCTCTCTTTCTTCTCTGCCCTCTTCGTTCACATTCCCTTCATGGTGTCTGCCTCTCATCTTGATCAACTCCTTCTACTCTGCCACAAGTCCGCTATCACCGAGGAAGTTGAAGATGATGGCCGCGAGGAGACCCTCCGACTCCTGGCTCGGAAGGTCGATGTGGCCGCGACGTTTGCTGCCGTTGACCGCAATTGGCAACACGCCGTGGAAACTGGCCCCGATGCTATCCTGGAGACTCTTGGAATTGTCAGCCTTGCTATTGAGAAGCATCCCAAATCTGCTACCGTTAACAACCTTGCGGTCATCACCAGCATTCTGTTCAAGGCATTTGACCTCCGCCGCCAGCAAGTGTCCTTAGGCTCGAATGCCACCATCGACTTGTCACACCTGGACGAGATCGAGGATGTCATCAATGAGGTCGCCATCAAGATGGTTTACAAGCTGAATGACACCACCTTCCGTCCTATTTTCACCAAGCTCCTTGACTGGGCTACCTCCACCACTACAGCCAAGAAAGATACCCAAGGTAGTCTGGCTCGCCTTACGACCTTCTACAAGTTCCTCCAAGTATTTTTCGGCACTCTTCAGGTAAGTTTATCCAACCAGTCTATCAATGCAATCATCATATCTAACCGAATCAGTCCATTGTCACCGGCTACGCAAGCTACATCCTGGAAAATGTGGTTAAGGTCCTCGCCAAAGCCAGCCCCTCGAACCAGAACACCAAGAGTCTGTGGCTGGCAACGATGCGCATGCTCCGGAATGCCTTCCAGCACGACCAAGACGGTATGTGTCACTTCTCAACTCCCCACAACACGCACAACACAACTAAAAAAACCATCGCAGAATTCTGGCAATCTCCGTCCCACCTCACCGCGATCGCTCAGCCCTTGATCTCCCAGCTCGCCCATGCCACGAACTCCTCCACGGCCGCCCTCGTCATCGCCGAGGCCGTCCCCGCCATCACGGAGCTGGCCGTCGCCGCCGACTCCACCGACAATCACAAGGAACTCAACACGGCGTTGATGCGTCTCCTCCGCCCCTCGGCCGGACCCTCGGGTAAGGCCGCTGCCGGCGGCGAGAACCCGCACACGCGTCTGGCCGCCCTCAAGGCGGAGCAATCGCTCACCGAGCAGCTCGGCGAAGAATGGCTGGCTCTGCTGCCGGAGATGCTGCCGTATATCAGCGAGCTGATGGAGGATGAGGATGAGAACGTCGAGCGCGAGGTCCGCAAGTGGGTCAAACAGATCGAGGAGGTCTTGGGGGAGAGATTGGATGATATGCTCACCTAAACTCTCTCGGGGGTTTGACGCCGTGATTAAACCTTTTCTTGTATGATGCGCGGATGGCGTACTTTGGAAATTTTTGGGGGTCTTTGTGTTTGTGTGTGTGTGTGTGTGTAAATACTTCGTTCTTGAAAAAGTTTCCCAGGATTCTTGTGTTTGTTTTTTTGATGCTGAGTGTTGTTGTCGATGTCTCTTAACATTTATACCTCATTTTTCTTCTTGTTGTATCTAGAAGAGGGCCTTTGAAAATAGAAGAGCAAGCAAGTATCGGAATTTATGGTAGCATATTCATTCAAGATTGCCCTGACTAGCTTACTTGGACTGGGCAGGTAAGCTGAAGTGAGATTTCAGGCTTTCTTCTGCCTGGTAAACTTGCCCATGTTCATCCGCTTGTTCACGAGCGAATCTACCCCGTCAAGCCACCTGGTCCAGGTCCTGCCGTCCCCCATGGCCAGTATCCGTTTCATACGCGCATAGTCACGGATTGGCTGGTCTTCCTCTTCGCTCTGGACCTCATGAACGCAGTTCTGACCCCAGACTTTCCAATGACCCCCCGGTGCAGACCACGGTGCTTCACCGTACGCGAAGGTGATCCACGCCGTGGCGAAATCCCGAGCCATAGCTTTCTCGTCGTCGTTCATCTCGTTGTCCAGGTTCCCGAAGAGATACAGGAGCTCGATGGCGTGGTATGCGGTACCCTCCAAGGGATTTTTGAGCCGGGACCGTCGGTCAAAGTGATAGAGGTACAAGGCGTTCTTCTCCCGCAGCGAAGCGCAGAGCAGCGAGGTAGCGTAGTTGGGGATCTTGAAGATTGCGTCCCCGCACATGTGCTCCAGGCGCGTGAGGAATTCTTCCGAAGTTAGCCCATCGGGTTCGATCGCGTACTCTCGGAGGATTCGGGTGGTTTCGTCGGTGTTCTGGATCTTGCTTTGGAGGGTTTGGAAGACTGTGTCGTAGGTGTCGGTCAGCATGTTGAGATGGAAGATCACTCCTTCGTGGTAGACGTCGCCCAGCATGTAGGCTTTGAGCCAGCGGGGTGGCTCGTGGACCTCCAGGGGATTGCGATCATAGAACCACCCGTCAAGACAGGGGTTTCCGGTGCCAGAGAGAACGCCCTGGATGGCGGCGGTGGCGTTCGCGAGTTCCTGCTGGGGTAGTTCACGCAGGCGGTCGAGCACGTCTGGGGCGGACGGGTTGATGTCGAAGTACCGACACACGGCGCGGAAGTACTCTTCGTGTTGCTCCATGGTCCAAGGGGGGATGGAAACGGACAGGCCGGACATGCACACGGCTCGGTGGAAGCGCGGCGGGTGGGAAGATACCAGATGGTTGCTAATGGAGATCCCACCGGCCGACTCTCCCACTGCTGTGACATCGTTAGGATCACCGCCAAAGGATGCGATGTATCGCTGGACCCATTCGAAGGCTACCCGCTGGTCTGTGAACCCAAAATTTCCGCATCCTTGATAGCCGTCGCGTTCGAGGTCCTGCTTGATGGCTTGGCTGGCTAAAAAGCCGCCTAGTCCGACGCGGTAGTTGAAGTTGACGCAGACGATGGGCTTGCCGATCTTGATGCTGTGCGAAACAAGGTTCACGCAGTCGAAGATAGGAAGGTTGGCACCTCCGTAAAGGAGCGAGCCACCGTGTACGTAGACGAAAACGGGTAGCTTCTGGCTGTTTGGAGCATGTGGAATCACGATGTTCATCACGAGCCCGCGCAGCTCGTCCACTTGTGGGATTTCTGGGAAGTGTGCTGGTGGTGGCACTGGCGTTAAATCGTCCGAGTCGTCGCCTTCGAGCATTGGCCGTGGGACATCAGCTCTAGAGATCCTCGTCAGTCAGACCAGAAATTTGATCAATATAAGAAGTATAGTCTACCCCAATTTGGTCCCGTCATGGTGGTCATTCTCCCATGTGGTATTCAGCTCTGAACGTGTCCAACGTTTGCGAAGACGAGCATAGTGAATGCCACAATACTGCTGGACCCCGTTTTCATATTGCAAACCCTCGAGTCTTCCAAGGGATTGTAGCTCAGTTGAGCATCTTGAGATCGGAGTGAGGAAGGACATAGTAGCCTGGTGAGAAGTATTTCATCACCAAGACTGCATGTCTTCCACCGTTGCTATTTATGGATGAAGAAGGATGGCGAAGGCCAATTTAGTCGCACCTGCAGCATCCATTGTTAGTGTTAGATCACAGGGTCATTTGCAAATGACTGAGTCAATTGATGCTGACTCGTTGCAAAGGATGAAACTGTTTACGACTACAATACTCTGTACAATGCAAAGGGAAATAAGGTTGATGCTGAGCTAGACCTAATACAGCAAGTCGACCCAGGACCCGTCTGATAAGCTATTGTGACTAGTTATCGGCCAGGTACGTTGTTATCTCTCCGACTTTCCCCTCACTCACCCTCTCTACGTTGTCTGATAAGGGTCCACATTTTAAGCAGGTCTTTACTTTCCGCTTCTGCCTATCATGACCTCGATTTTGGTCTGACCTTCGTCCAATTCATGACACCGATCAGGAATGTCGACCCCTCATCAGCGATCTCATCACGGCTGCTGGACGTGCAAGGCCCGACGCCGCAAATGCGATAGAACGAGACCCAACTGCCAATCCTGCATTCAGCGCGGGCTCCAATGTGAGGGATATGAGGTCCGGCTGCGATGGGGAGCCGGCATTGCATCGCGAGGCCGTTACACTGGAGCAGAAGAGCCAATCGAGACCTCCGTACCTGCAAGGCGCAAAGGACGGCGGCGTGATCTGAGTCGTGAGAGGCGCCGAACCCAGCAAGAAGTTGCATATATCGCCAATGTGGGGAAGACGAGGACTACCGCATCCCCTCCTTGCAGTAATAGTGCATGTACCGTGTCCCATATGTTGTCCATCTACCGATGTACTGGCCTCTTGCTAACACGTTTGAGGCAGCTTATGATGCTAGCACTAATTTCTCCTCTGACCTGTCTCCACTAACGTCCCCCGAAGCACGACAGCGATCAGAAGAAGACGAGGTACTCTTCCAGAGATGTATGCAAATGTTCCCTTCGGCCCCGTGTCTTCGATGATGAAGGATTAAGTATTGTGCAGTCCTTACTTCAGGCGTTAACACTTTACACTCAACAACGACCGATGACCCTGCCAGTCTATTGGGAGCGCAACTTCCTACACTTTCTCAGCAATCCGATGCACTATACTTCATCTGCCTGGCTCTCCAAGTTTCAATATCCGATGACATTGGCTCTCGATTCTTCGAGTATTACGACGCGGCTCTGAACCATTTTAGATCCGAACTGGCACACAGTGCGTCATACTTGCCGGATGGTACACTTGCAGCGGGGCTTCTTCTCTGCAGCGTTGGGGTGCGCTCATGTCCATCTTAACCTCCTGCCTCCATCAACAAGGATACTAAATCAATCAGGTTTTGCGTGGCACACCGTGGACGATGCACCTCCGAGGTATGTACAGTATCATTCAGTTGCAAGGGTTCCGAAACCTTCTGTCCGAAACCAGTACATTCCGCACACATCTCTTCGAGGTAATGGGTGTGATGGATCTTCCTACTTTTACCATTGGTCGCCGAAACTCCTGTCTTGGTTTCTGGAGAAACCACTGTCGAGAACGCAAAGACCCCACTGCAATCAATTCAGAAATAGGTCATGATGTCGAGGTGGTAAGCGGCCTTCCAAGGTCTTTACTCGATATTTTCTCCTGTATTGGCACTCGAGAGGCCAACGAAGAAAAATTTTGGAATTGGCCTGGTGCCCAGGGGACGTTGCTGCAATGCCAGCTGTGGGAAGCTTATAGATCGGCGGGAATTCTGGCCCTGAGACATCGTCGCTTGCACCGATTTGATGATATGATCGTATCACAACCAGAGAACCATCAAGAGACAGCGCTCCGGAAACGAGCTCTCCCTACCACGGAAGTGCTTGTGTTGCGCATTTTCAGTAATCTGGATGCGATCTTCAGAGCGACAAAGGAGCCTGAGGGAGCAGGTACTTTGCTTCTGAATGCGGTCTTCTACCCTCTGACTGTTGCTTCATTGGAATCCCATATCATGAATGAAAGACCATTTCTGAAAGCCTTGATCAAAGGCTGGGGTGACAACCTTCATGACCCGCCTGGGAATGAGCGACTCTTGCAGATCTTGTCGGAAATCCTCGAGGAATGGTGGATATCTAGCCCTGAGCAAACCAGCATACATGAACTTGCTTATGTGCGAGGGTTGGAAATTGCGTTGTATTGATCAGGATCATACAAGATAACTACACTTAGGAACTGAGATTCTGTGCCTGTCGAAACATGAGCCAAACTTTGGCGATGTCTTTTTCATCGGTCAAATCCACTTTTTCAACAACCTCAAATCCTAGCTTCTCATAGAACTTCACATTTTGCTCCGCTGTGCACTCTAAGAAAATCGGCGAATCCTGAACACGGTCCAGAACCCACTGCATCGCCATGCTGCCCAATCCTCGGCCTTGAAGAGAAGGATGAACAGCTAATACTTCAAGATACCACAGATCGTTTACATCATATCTTTTTCTGATGGCGTTGAGTGAGTTTTCGTGAGACTTCATAAGGGTCTCCACGCGCTGCGGTGTGACTGGGTTAGCATTCATCATGATCAAGAACTGTTGTTCTTCAGTTGGGGGGAGAGCAGGTATCGACCTTCACTTTTGCCCCATTGTCTGTCACTGGGCTTATCAGATCCAGAAACCAAACCTTTGCAATTAGGAGTAGCCTTCCGATCGTCCATTTGATTTGTCTGGAAGGCGGGTATAGCATGATAGCTACGCCAGCATCCTTTTCATCACGAGAGTTTGGTATCTTCTGGATCACGGCTGAATTTTGTGACACCTGTCGATTTGATGGAAACAAATGTGCAATCTGATGTACCGGAGCCGATTGAAAAACAAGTCCCTCAGATATGAACCGTTGTACCCGACGATATTGCCAGTTGAATGTGCTCGTATGCTGCCTCATCCATGGAGCAGCAGCAGGCCGTAGCCATCGGATCAGCGGGTCATTCGAGAACGAGAGACTGATTGTGTGTGCGACTGCGCTGACTGAACGAAGATCTATTCGACTCAAGGGGGTCATTCAAAGTTGTCCAGCAAATGTTATAAGCAGGTGACCAAACCATCATGAACTCGAAAGAAATCCAAACGAGGAGTTGAAGCCATCTGCTTAGGTATTGGGACCCAAAATTCATCCGATAAGACACCAGGGTGCTACTGGCCCTCTGTCACCACGAATGAACCGCCTCTTTATCGTCTGATGGCAAGGATGAACTTGGGATGAACTTGATTTAACCTATAGATAAGTACAAGTCAAGTCGCTTGTCAGCCTAGATCATCCACATCATCACACTCTGAATGTTTGTGGCAAGGTGTCTACCTTCCTTCTTGGGATCGGCTTTGGATCATCTCCAACTTGCAGCGTTTCGAGACGTTTATCTTCAAGTTGACACCAATCCGTTCGGCATGAACAACAAATGAAAATACAGAGTGATTGATTTTGTGTGATGCTATATCTAAGGTAGCGAAGCGCCTTCATACTAGGTAGCCCGAGGCTATTCCCTTGTTGGCAGGTCGACCCCCAGACCCGCTCTCCCTTTCCTCGTTGGGATTTGATCAACTCCTCAGGACTCCGTCTGGGTGGATTGAGGCGGTTTCTTATCTATCAGTGCCTGGTCCAAACACTAAACACTCGGTCTCCCCGCATTTCGTACTCACTTCAACTGCACTCGTGATCTCCATCGCCATCATCTATCATGATAGGGTTTACGGCTCTTAGCAAGGGCCGCGTGGCAATGGAATGTCGGGGACTCCTTGCGCCACCAAAGGCGTGAGTCTGCGCGGGCGACTATATATCATCTCACCCAAAGCATACCTCGAGCCTGACTGTAGAAACCATCATCAAAGGCCTTTCTGTGACATTTTCTCACAATTCAACCATCTTCCTTTGCACTGGGCGAACATTGATGGCAGGCCACAGCTCGCTATCTCAGGATCGAGTGGAAGATGACCTACCTCCAGGCACTTTCCTCTTCGTCAAAAGTAAGAATCTCTCTTACATGATAGCAGCCTAGAGACTGACAATGAGATACAGAGAGCGAGGATGAGACTCAAGGTCAGCAAGTGATCCTCCTCAGCCCGGTCCCTTCAAGCGACCCCAACGAGCCTCTGGTAAAACACCTTTCTTCGAAAGACAAAGGGAGTTCGCTAACACGCGTGGAGCGAGAAAGAATTGGAGTACCGCGCGCAAAGCTGTGAACTTCACACTAGTACTGGCAGTCACCTGTCTCATTTTCACTGCGTGAGTCGGCAACTGAATAACAGCCTTTGAGGCTCATGGCTGACATCTTCACCTGTAGGCTTTCGATTCAGCTCATCTTCTGGCAACTGATGGTGGTGGACTTGAACGTCACATATACCCAACTGAATCGAGCCATGTCGGTTAACTCGGTGGGCCTATCTATGGGCTGCGTCATGTTTATTCCCTTGGCGAAGAAATATGGGCGTCGGCCCATTTACCTAATCTCCACCGCGCTGATGCTTGTAACTGCCTTCTGGACGGCAGAGATCAAGAGCCTCTCTGAGCTCTACATCACAAACCTCATTCAGGGCTTGGCCGGTGCGACCAATGAGGCTATTGTCCAACTTACTGTGCGTGTTCTTGCCTCCGGAAAGATGCTGCGCTAACGTCATCAGATTGCGGACATCTTCTTTGTGCATCACCGCGGTACAATGAACGCATTGTATATGACGATGATGATGATTGGTGTAAGCCTCTGATTATCGAGTCTTGATCTTGAGCATCGCAGCTGACGTCGAGCAAGAGCTTCTTGACCCCCATGGCAGCCGGTCTGCAGGCAACCCACCAAAGCTGGAGGATGTCATACCGTACGCTTGGCATTTGTAACGCCATCATCTTTGTACTGTTCATGCTTATCTACGAAGAGACAAAGTATACTGTGGTGATAGATGGAGTTCACGAATCGCAGGAATCTATCGATGAACCGCAGGTGGTGCCAGCTTCTAGCACCAAGGGAGATAGCAAATCGGCCATCACGGAAGATATAATTCCTCAAACTGAAGCGTCCAGCGCTGGGCGTGTTGAGATCGACTTGAGCGTCCCAATGAAGAGCTGGCGGCAGAGATTGGCTCTCGTGACGTACACGCCGGAACCCATCTGGCTATATTACTATCGGCCTTTTGAGATCCTTTTCACGTTCCCTGCCGTGCTGTGCTGTGGCCTGCAGTATGCGTGTGGCGTCATGTGGCTCACGATCATGTCAAGCGTTCTTTCTCTTGTCCTCCCGCTACCACCCTACCTTTTTAACCCGGAACAGATCGGTTTCATGAGCGTTGGACCATTCATTGGGAACTTAATCGGATCGTTCTACGGAGGGTATCTCGGAGACCGATCGCTTCGATATTTTGCTCGACGTAATAAAGGCTATTTTGAGCCGGAGATGCGGCTCTATATCCTCCACATGCCAGCAATCGCACTATGTGGTGGGCTGATAATGTTTGGCGTGACTCTGGACCGGGTGAGTGACCTGTGTTTTCTTTTCTTTCTTTTTCTCTTTTTTTGGGGTTGAAAGCAACCTTCCTCGCTGACGTGTGGTTCGTCCAGGGTATGCATTGGATCTACCCCAGCATTGGTGGGGCATTGTTCGGCTTTGGCCTAGGCAGTATTAGCGACGCATGCTTGACTCTAGTCATTGACAGCCATGTGTTGGTAAGACACCATCTTCATCCCACTATAGCGAACGTGTCGAAGGTAGCTAATGCATGGTCTAGCTCACGGGAGACGCCTTCACCGGCGTGGCCTTCATGCGCAATGTGTTCAGCATTGGGATTCCATTCGCGATTAGTCCGTGGATGGAGACCTACGGACTAACCAAGATGTTCATCACCGTGGGATTCATTAGTCTCGGGGTAAATCTGATGCTAGTGGTGATGGTAATCTACGGGAAGCGGTTCCGACGGGCCAAGGCCCATCGGTATCGGGAACTGGCCGCCCAACAGGGCCAGGGCCGGGGAACTTGACCGGGCCGACTGTATGCGAGTGATTTGGGTCGGGAAACACGCGAAGAGGCTGGGCGAGGGCGGAGAAGCAGATCCAAAAGCGCGAGGAAAAGTAGAAAAGACGTGCTTGAATCTCGGTTAAGGGCGGATAGAAATGGAGCGCCCGACGGGGGGCCCTGGTCTGGACAGTGTGGGAACTCCGGGGCGGTTACCTTCGTCTGGGTCCGGATAACATAACAGCAAAGGATAATATAATGTCAAGATACCGCCTGTGGTTGCGATCACTCTATAAGATGGTGCAATTGATTGATATCTTCTTCCTGTTGTTGTGTAGCCAGAGCAAGATGGGGGGGCAGCGTGGACAGAACAAGGATTTCTCACGCAGTTTTCTCTTTCTTCCTTCTCTTTCAGGAGAAGCCTGAGAAAGTGCCTTGACCCGGCAGAGGCCACCAATGAGACCGCGTCAAATGCTCCGTCATCGGCAACAGATCAAGCGAACAACGCCCTTGTGGCTTGCGCATGTCATGTCATTGCAAGGGCGTGAAATTTGAAGAGGAAGAAGAAGAAGAAGGCGTGGAGCATCGACTCGTGGACGTCAGACATCGGCTAGCAATTGCGGGATGACTCCTTCTTGCTCGCAAATCCAGCCCCAGTTTGGGCTTAGATTCTGGGGGAGAAGTGGGCAGAGTTTCTATTTGATCAATCAGGATGGTGAGGAAATCCCGAGCTTCCTCGTGATCGTTTTTTGAAGCCTCCATCAATCAATCTCGAGGGTCTATGCCCAGACCGCTGGGGATTTATGATTAATAATGTTCTCCGTGGTTAACTTAGCATCTGAGTTTCGTGTTCGCATACAAAGCAGTCGAGTCGATCATCCGTCTTTGTCGATGACACGAGACAGCCGATAGTAGCGCCGGGAGAGGGAAGCCGTAAAAGAGATCATCAACTTCATCACGGACTCGATGCTCGAGCGTCAGTCACAGCAGAAGAAAGGGGGGGGGGTTCTGGACTGTGCTGGCCATGGCCCAGCTGCGTCATCATCATCACCGACTCGGGCCTTTTCCCGCGGACATACCACCCACACAGACACACACACACACACACACACACACCATCCATACACGAGAGGGAGGGGCGCGCGCTGCTTGTTCCGTAGGGCGTGACGCTTTCCCTCAATTGTGTTCGCCCGAACGATGTCAGCAAAGGGCGCGCGCAACAAACCAGGAGTGGAGGGTCCATTCCTCATGCAAAGCTAAAGCCAGTCCCGACCACAGAATGCGAATCTCTTCCCAGCGGGATATGGGGTACGCTAGTCCAGAATGGCAAGTATTGGGAGAAAACTGAATGAATCAATTGAATCAATTGAATGGATTGAACAAACAGACAAACGAATTGGAGATGTCGCACGTGCATTTTCTCTTTCGCTTTATTTCCTTGGATTTATCAGCTCTTTGCGTGACTCATCTTGGGTAGGTAAAAGGATTGAGGATTTGGAGGATATTGGCCTTCGGTCTATGAGTATTAAAACCACAGACTCAGGACAGGAACCTTGGTGGTTGATTCTCAATCATTCATCTTCAAAGCCTTTAAGTCTTCACCAAGGGACTTCTTGATTTTTTTTTTGATACTCAGTAGTAACTAAGTATCAGAACGGAAAACCACGGACATCAAAGAAGAATAGTGGATTCAAACGATCTCCACTGTACCTTTTCTATTACTCAACCGCAACTGCCGTCACCCCATCCCTACATACTTGCCCATTGCCAATTTGCTCCCTGGAATCCATATATGGTACCTTTTTGGGACTGGGGGTTTATTTGGGATTCTCGTTTTCCTATCAAGATCCTACCAATTCTTGTTTGTGTCACCATTGACTGCACTTGAGTGACTGACTGGTCGGGAATAAAAAGTCCCTGCATCTCGCATTATTTTTCTTGTGTTGCTTCTTCTTTACTCCTGATCCGAACTTCTCATACTCCTACCTACTTATACTTCCGCCGATCAACAATACCACCCAAACACCCCGTCAGGCTGTCCTGGTTGGCGGTCATTGCATATTCACCAATTGCTCGTCATTGAGCAATATCCTTTCATCTTCACCGCCCGTGCTCGACAAGTCCAACGTTGATTGACTTTCATCAACAACA